TGGATCTTCAGCCATCAGAATTGTTGTCTGAAGGCCAAGAAAGATGCCAAACAGTTTACAGTTTACTTCACCAAGTGGATCATCATGGCCTTGCCATATTGGTCCATTTGATTGACCTTTATTATTATTATGTATTTATTTTATTTTATTTTTGGTTGTTACAGACGGGATAGACTAGTGCATAGGTGTCAAACTCTGGCCCGCAGGCCAAATTGTGTTTGAGTCCATAAGAAAAGATTCATTCTTATATCTGAAGGAATAAATATATTTCAATAAATATTCACGTTAGCCCACGACTTTGTTCCAGTTTTGAATTTTGGCCCACTGTGTATTTGAGTTTGACACCCCTGGACTAGGGGATAGGACAGGGAGAAAGAAAGAATGAAAGAAAGAGGGAGAGAAAGAAAAACACAGGGGAGAAGACATAGTGAGAAAGGGGGAAGAAAGAAAAATACCCCCTTCCGGGGGGCGCCCGGAGGGAGCCCAGAGGGATTGATCAAATGTGGTGGCAGATGCTGTATCAAGACTAATGTGATCTATTAGGTGGTTTTCATATTGGTTAGAATTAAGATTATTTTTATTTTTCCAGTTAATGAGGACCATTTTCTTGGCAATGCATAGGGCCGTAAAAACAATGTGGGCTGTGTTTATTTCTGCAGTGACCTCATCCAAGTTGCCCAGCAGGCACACTAAAGGGGAGGCTGGAATGTTACATTTCAGACACTTTGATAAGTCTTCACATATCTCGCGCCAAAACTTCTGAACTGGTGGACAGAACCAAAGACCGTGGATGTAATTGTCCAGTGTATTTGCTTGACAGTGTGAGCAGTTGTTAGAAAACAGCCCATCTGGAACATCCTATTACCTGTATAGTGGGCTCTATGTAATATTTTGTATTGTATTAATCGCAAACTGGGATTTCTGATCCATTGAAAGGTTTGCAAGCATATCTGATACCAAAAGTTTTGGTCTAAGCTGATCCATAAATCCGCTTCCCATTTTGCAATAGGAAGGGATATTGATTCATCTATTTTAGAAAGTGTTCTGTATGTTTTAGACAATAATTTGGGGGTTTTAGAGTAAAGAATTGTACTACACTTGGTGGTGTTTGTAATTCAGCTTGACTGGGCTTAAATTTATTTTTTACTATGGATTTAATCTTTTGATATTCTAAAAATCTTTTCTTGTTGATCCCATATTGTGTAATTAGTCTGTCAAACGAAATAAAGTCTGTTCCTTCTGATAAGATAAGATAAGATAAGATAACCTTTATTAGTCCCACACGTGGGAAATTTGTTTTGTCACAGCA